TATATATTTAATATAATAGTTTCACATTTCATGAATGTAATACTAATTAATGGCAACTACAAAAATTTCACTAATAGACATGTTATTACCAATCACAATTTCCAGGACTAAAAAATAAGTTGATCATGACCGACTATCATCAACTAGATTATGAATTTATCTTATCATAGTTTTAATTAATAAAATAAGCAGATCGCTATAAGAAGGCTATTGCAAGGATTATTGCCTTACGTCAACGCATATTATACCAAATCTTATACTACTGTAATAACAAGATCATTCATATCGCAAAATTCATGTTTTAAAAGCTCCTGCTCGGGCGGCTTTAATTATAAATGTTTTTACTGTCTCTTCGTCCAATGTACCAAAATTAGACGTCTGTATTACAGCAGTCATATGATTTAATGCAAATTTAAAACAAAACTCTTCTAACTCCTAAAGATAAAGCAAACCATTTTCAAGATTAATAAGTGAAATATAAGCATAATCACGCATAAAATTTATATACACGAAATTACCTGAATATTATAATTCATCGCTGTTCTATATAGATAAGCCACATTGAGAACAGTTATTCCTTGTTTAATTATTTGAACGCATCGTCTTTTCAATTGCGTTTCACAATATACATTTGCTAAGTCCAATAATTCTGTGAAACAAGAATAAATTTAAAAATATGCAATAATCTATATAGGTATATTGAAATAATCACAAGAAATATTTACCTAATGCATTTTCAGGAGGAAGATCAACTTCATCTGTATACAGATATTTCAAAAATGATTTAAAAACATCATGAGAAAATTGATCATGATGGAGAACGCTGCAAAGCAATACATGGTAATGTGATTAAATGAGAATTTATAATAAAAAAAAAAAAAAAAAATTACGATTCGTTGTTAAAAAATACCTCTGATTATTTTCCATCCAACATTCTTGAAACATTGTCCTAAAATACTGACATCGTATTTTTAACACAGCCTTATGAACATAGATAGGTCTAGCTTGCACCTGTATTATCAAGTCACTTGTTGTCTACAATAGTATTAATATTAATCAATTTAAAATTCATTGATATATGCATATAAATATAAAAAAAAAAAAAAAAAGAAAGAATGTATAAGAAGTAAACATACAGAATCATCAAATGCCTGTTTTAAACAATCCACAATATTCATCTCTTCTGCTGCATAAAGAAATAGTGGGCGATGCATTACGCTTGGAGATGCATAACAGGCTAGAGCATCATGCAAATGTGCTAATAGAGTTGGTGTTGGTACCGTAATGCTTTGTCCACGACATTGACCCCACATAAATACTTTATGTCCTTCTCCAATTGCAACACTTATATGATTATAATGCAATGCTGCTATATCAGATACTCGTCCCATTTCTGGTACAGATAACTTTGAAATAAAAAATTAGTTAAAAATAATATCTCTTTGTATAATATCGCATTAACTTAAGTATGCCAATCATAATTTTACCTTCATAGGAACACAAGCATTTGTTTTATTGCCAAGACCTAATTGACCATAACTATTACTTCCCCAGACATAAAGTACACCTTCGTCGCTTAACGCTAATGTATGCGCATAACCGCAAGCAACTTTTTCTAAAATCATTAAGATGAATTTCTGTATTGCAAGATATAGTAATAATGAAAAACTTTTTTATTACAAAATATACTAATAATATAATATATATTTACCTATAACTATTCCTATTAAACCTGTAACTTTACATGGATTCAATTGATTAGTATAGGTTCCATTTCCTAATTGCCCAACCCCATTATGACCCCAACCATAAATTTCACCGTTATTTGTAACCGCCATACTATAAGTCTGACCGCAAGTGATAGACACAACTTTTTTACCGGTTAAAGAGGAATTAATTTTTCGTGGTGCCCCTTGATTAGAACTTATGCCACTACCTACTTGTCCACAATTGTTTTGTCCCCATGCATAAACCTGCACATATGTAAATTCATCAATTGATTTTTTTTGCAATGCTAGATTCTTTACTTATAATAGTATATAATGTTATGTCATAATGCATACTTCCTTTCTCTAAGATGATTATTCGATTACGAGATATACTTTTGTTTCTTTGTTACCTCTCCTTCATCCGTAAGAGCAAGAGAATGATGACTTCCACAAGCAATGTCTATCACAACTTTTTCGCTCAAAGGCATTCCTACAGGAGTTGGAGTCAATCCATGATTCGATGATCCATTACCCAATTCACAGAATCCATTATGTCCCCAAGAATATACCTTTTAAATATTACAGACAATTATGATATATATATATATATATATATATATATATATATATATATATATATATATATATAGGTTTTATCAGTATATTAATATAAGTACCTCTCCTTTATCTGTAAGTGCCAATACATGAGGACCACTGCCATAAGCAAAAGTTTTTATACCCTTTTCACAAAGGGCTTCTACTTTTTTAGGATGAAGAGTACTATGCGCGTCTCCTGTTCCAAGACAACCAGTAATGTTGCATCCCAAACCGTATACCATATCATCCTTTGTTACAATTAAAGCTTCATTACCTAAGTTACCTGCAAGAGAAATCTTTTTTTTTTTTTTTAATTATCACAAACTAATCGTCAATAATATTAATAGAAAAGTAGGAAAATTATTATATCATGTAAATAAAAATTGATAACAAATGTCATAGATGGGGGAAAATACGTGTAACAAAGGAGTTGTCATGAATTACCATATACTACGACCATTTGAATACTGGCAATGAATTTAGATTCTAATAAGCTAAAAATTGGCCAATTCTTTAAATCGAAGGAAGACATTTTGTATTTTGTAACTTTTTTCTTTTCTATTTTTTCTTTTTTTTTTTTTTTTTTTTTTTTTTGAACAAATTACTCTTTGTTTATATGCTTCAAAATAATTTCAATCTGTAAACACTTTAACCTATGCCGTGACTAATCGCGAAGACGACAGTAATCCCCCCTAAGTAACAAGATACAATGAGATCTGAAAATAGTATACTATAGATAATTCTTCCATCATATGTGAAAGAGATAAAATACGATAATAGAATTGAGATAAAATTTTGAATTTGAAATTAAAATTTTTAAATTAAATTATTGCTCGAACAAAAATAAATGAAAATATTCATTTTTTCAGATTAATATTATATACATCATTGAGAGTGTATTAATATAAAAAAAACGATATGTTTACGCAATTAAATGTAATCAAAAAAAAAAATAATAAATAAATATAAAAAGTATTTCAAATTAAAAAAAAAAATAAATAAATAAATAAAAACAAAGTTCCTGGTGATTTCGATCATGTATCACAAGTTACTTTAAAATTTTAAGTCAATTTAAAAATTCTATTGAATAACATAATCGGCATTTCTTTCCCTGTTTATGCATTTGTCCATCAATTGTGCATTCGTATTATTTGCCATTAGAAAAGTGATACAAATTTAATTGAAGCTAAGATTTGTGTTCTTTTTTTTTCATTTTTTTTCTTTTATCTTTAATAATATCTAAATTAGTTATTTTGATTGGTCTTGAACTATCTTAAAATTTGATTGGTTCGAATTGTTCAAATAATACTAGAGAATATCTATCGTGCACATGCCGTGTAAGAAATAAATTACTAACTTTTGTACGAGACACGAACAAGTCAAACCATTTTTCACCAGCATTCTTATTTTTAAATTTAACAATGTATTAATGAAGTATAAGAATTTATAATAAATATCGTGCGAAATGGTTTTGTCATTTTGTGTTAAAAGATTTATTTTGTCAAGAAGTAATGCTCATAAAATACCAAAACGTAATGGGTACATAGTACTGTAAGTCAACTACATTGAAATAATTTTTGTTAGGTTAAAGATATTTTATTTTCATCTATTACTATTTATTATTTTGAAAATTTCTACATTTCTCATTTATAAAGTTTTCTTAAAAAGAAAAAAAAAAAGAAAAAGATTCTTCTTTGATTGCTTTCTTGATCTTTGAAAATAGTCTTCCAGAAATAGGCGAAGAATGTCCACAACAAAATTTATTGAAAGAAGATAAAACTCCAGAATTTAATAATATTACCATTGAAAAATGTATAACAGCGATTCGAAAACAAACTATAGAATGTGATAATCAAATACAAAAAATAGAAACAAAATTACAAGGTTAGTAGATTGATAATTATGTTTTATAAATTTTGTAAAGATGATAACCTAACACTAAATTATTTTGTTATTTAATATGTTAATTATAAATAATAATAATAATGTTAAGTCTACTTATTCAAATAAACAGGATATGAACACTAATGTGTTATAATAAAATATTTAACATTTTCCAGGTAAAAAAGATGTAAACATATTTAACGATATCTTATTCCCCTTGGAAGAAACATATATTCCTTTGGGAATAACATGGGGTATAGCACAAACATTATATTATGGAAACCAAACTTTAATACCTACCAAATCTTTTATTGGTATCAATTTACGTGCTTTGAAAGCAACAGAAGCTAAATTTAGTAGCTTACCAATTTATGAAGCTTGTAAACGTGCTAAAGAAAATAAAAATATCCAATTAACAAGTCAACAAGAAAGGTTACTAGAAAAATATACAATGGAAGGAAGATTGAATGGATTGGAATTATCGAAAAAAAAGAAGGAATGGTTTAAAAATAGTTACCGTATTTTATATCAACAAGAAATGGATTTTATAAAAAAATACGAGGTCAATATTTTAACAAAGTATAATAAAAGTTATGAATAATAAAGATTATAATGAAATTATTATTTTGTAGAGTGCAATAAAGCAATGTTCTTATATCATACAAAATAAAGATGAAGTTAAAGATTTTCCCGAGGAATTATTAGAAGCTACAGTAACAAATCCTGCACAATCTCATGTAGGTCCTTGGACTATCACTTTACAGCCACACGTTCTTAAATTATTCTTAGGTACATAAGTTCTATATCATTTTAAATATTTCTTTTATATCATTGTTTAATACTTGTAATTGAAATTATTTGTTTAGAATATTGTTCTAGTCGACTTTTACGTTGGAAAATGTGGAAAGCGAATGCTACATTATTATCTCCCTCCGATGATAAGATGTTCCAAACAAATTCTATATTAAGAGAAATTTATTATATGCGTAAACAACAGGCAAATTTGTTCAAATATAAAACCTATTCTCATATGAGTATGATAACAAAAATGGCTGATAGTTTAGAAGAAGTGTATAATACATTTAACATCTTGTTAGAAAGTGGTAAGATTAACTTTTTAATTTATCATTTTTGATTTTTTGATTTTTTGATTTTTTTTTTTAACGTCAAACTAATAACCAATATATTGTATTAGCTCGTAATGCTCAGGAACTCGAAATACAAAAGTTGACTGAATTTGCAAATGAAAGAGGATTGGAAGGTTCTCTCAAGCCATGGGATGTCCTTTATTGGAATAAACAATATCAAGATAATATTTATAAGTAATATAATAAAACATTTCATATATATATATATATATACAAATTCATAAATTATGATAAATAATAAATTATATAATTATATAATTGATAAATTATATAATTATATAATTGATAAATTATATAATTATATAATTGATAAATTATATAATTATATAATTGATAAATTATATAATTATATAATTGATAAATTATATAATTATATAATGATAAATGTTACAGATTTAAAAAAGAATCATTGAAAAATTACTTTCCATTGCCAAAGGTGCTAAATGGATTATTTGATTTACTTAAAGAAAATTTTGGTATAGAAATTGTTGAGAATAAAAAAGTGGACATTTGGCACAAGGACGTTTCCTTCTATGATGTATTTAATAGAAATGTATCAAGTACAGAACCGATAGCAAATTTTTATTTTGATCCCTACGTAAGGGGTGAAGAAAAACCTCATGGTAGTCAAAATTCTGGATATATGGTAATAATAAAAAATAGAAGTAAACGTTTGGACACAAAACCAATGTGTTCTTTAATATTTCATTTTCAACGTCCAAAGGATGAAAATCCTTCGTTACTTACACTTGAAAACGTGCGAACGGTATTTCAACAGGTAAAATAAATTATGTTTAATTATAAAAAAAAAAATTATTGTTTCAAGTAAAACATTCTTTCACATTATATGTTTAATATTTAGTTTGGTCATGCATTGCATCATATGACAGCTACAAGCGATTATCCAGACATTTCTGGACTATCTTACGTAGAATGGGATGCAGCTTACATTTATGATTATTTTCTTGAGAATTGGTATGTTTAATATTTATATACATGAATGTGCATTTTCTAATATTAAAATTATTTTACAATAGGTTATATGAACCATCAACTTTGCAAAAGATTTCTGAACATTATGAAACAAAAGAAACTTTACCAGCAGAAGCAGTTGAACTCATAAAAAATTCAAGATTACAATTAGCAGGATATAATTTATGTACAGATCTTCTTTTTTCACGTTTTGACTTAGAAATATATTCAAGGTAAAATGTATTATACATATGTGTGTGTATGTGTGTGTGTGTGTGTATATATATATATATATATATATATATATATATACATATATATATATATATATATATGTTATAAGCTTACTAAGAATAAAAATGTTAAATGAAATTTTAAAAAATATTTAGTGAAGAATCTTGGGGAGCTATTATGGAAAGACTTTGGAAAGAACACTTCGTAATGCCAATGGAAATAAACGATGTATTTATTTATTCTTTTAAACCTATTTTTTCTATGCGTTTGGCTACAAATCATTATTGGTAGGTCAATAATCTTTTTCTTTGACTTCCTATTTAATATTGTTATATGTGATATATAATATTTATTTTTCTTCTCTACAGTCATCTTTGGTCAAAAATGATTGCAGCGGATATATATAGTGCATTTCAAGAAATACCTTTTGAAGACAAAATTGGTTATGAGGAAGTTTGCAAAAGATTCCAAAAAACATTTTTATCTTTAAATAGTATTTATCCAACTACTGAAATTTTTAAAAGATTCAGAGGAAGGAATCCAAATCCTCAAGCACTGTTAAGAAATCTGGAATTATATAAAACTGAATAATAAAAAATTAGAAAATTACAAACTTTCTCTTAAATATAAATTTCAAGACTTTCCATATACCACTGTGTTGTATATAAATATCATTATACATTATTCCTTAAAAATAAGATTAAAATACATAATTATGCATCTTTTACAATATAAGAAAATATAAGAACTAAAAACTATACACATAAGCTTAAAAAAAGAAAAAATAATAAATTGGAATTCATCACATTGTGAAATGTAAAAATTCCAAAAATAAAAAAAAACGTCAAATTCAATAATAAGCAATACAAATTTAATTTATATATATAATGTAAAATATAATAAATACAAAATTCTAAAAGCAGGAAGTTTTTGAATTTGGATTAATAAATTAAAAGTAAGTACCACATATGTAATAATATAGCACGAAACAAGAGATATTAAATTTTTTTATGTATGTGTGTGGTAATACTATTATATATATATATATATACACACACGTATATATATATATAATATACGTACATATATATACGTACATATATATATATATACACACGTACACATACACATATTTATGTATTTACATTAGCTCTCCTTTAAAAAACAGAATTTTCATTAAACTTCCAATAAAGCAACTATTATAATACTAATGAAAAGTAAGATTATAATTATCCAATAACCACAAGTACTATCTTTGTAATTAATGTTTTCTACTTGACGTGTTCTATTAATTAAAGATTGATCAGTCATATCCATATGATCGGCCAAGTCGTCGATTATTTCTATATCAATAAAAAATACATTAATAGATATAAATTGTATTATTAAATTATTCAATGTAAATGCTTTTTATTACCATTATGTTGTTCTACTGTATTGCTAATAGTTTGTCCTATTTCTTTTTG